ATCACCAATTGATGGCACCTTATTGAAATCCCTCCTCCACTCAAGTGGGTATCAATAATTGTTATATTGGGAAGATTGCAATGCTAGCCAAGTCAAGGGAAGATCTGGACCACTTACATGTAAGTCAAATAATTCTTAACATGCAATGGTACTTGTACTGGCATTTTTGTGGGTTTAGCAGTTTTACCAAAATATAATTTTGGCAATTTTTTGGCGATTCTTTAGTTACTGGTACATGTAGTAGTAGCTAATTTGGTACAGTACGTCCTCGATTATCCGAACACCTTTGTGCACCTCTATTGGGAGAGATATTCAGATAGCTGAATAGAGGATATACATGCTAAGTATATTCATTGCAAAATAAATGTATTCATTGCATACCGTAATAACTTTCAAGAAAGAAATTAGTTCGTTGGATGTCAACTTTCCATTGGCAGCAATGGAGAAAAGATAAAAAAAGGCTTGGTACTAGGAAACCGCTCTTGATTTCTTGATTGCAATCTTTCAGGTGACTACTAGACCCATTAGAGCCTCAGTATGCTTTCTAAGCTTCCAAAAAAGGCCTCAAGAAGGTAGCAAGGCAAGAAAATGAGTTTCCCCCATCGAACTCATAATAAACTTGACGTGCAACATGGCGGCCAATTTATTGTGTGGGTTGGATATATGGTACTTAAAAGTTATGAATATGCCTAGCACGCATATCCTCTATAGTCTGGATAAGTGAAATACAGCACAGAATACAGTAGACTGACCTATCCTATACTTTTCTGAAAATTAAATGAGTATGACTTTCCTTTCTCTAACTCCCAGAGCATCTGAGGCTTCTCTTTCATGGTACCGTATACTATGATATTTTCGCGAACTTTGCATTTGTAAGATTTCAAAAAATAATATTTTCGCGAATAGCCTGTGAACTCCACCACGTGGCAATGTAAATTTAGAATTTTGCAATTTTTATTTTCACGACGAAGCAAAATATGCGAAATTCGCGAAAATTTGGCTACTCAAAAATTTCCCAGTATATGGTATTTCTTTTGTTAAGCTCCGTAAGCTCCTTGCTGCAGCAGCCATTTTAACTGGTTATTAATAAATTAACTAGTCTGAGCATGGGCATTAGAGACAGCCATGCGTTTGGATAAACAAAGGTTCGGATAAAAGAGGTACTGATAATCGAGGACGTACTGTATCAGCAATTTCTCCACACAGCTGCCATCATTTTACATAATAATGACACTATACTTGTATGTTTGCATATGCATGTACCAGAGGCGTCGCTGCCTAAGGGGCAGGTAGGGCAGTTGCCCTACCAATATTTTGAAGATTAGTAGCCATTTTTATTAAAATTAGTTATTAATTCAAGTTAATTCATTTAATAACTATCCAGGAAAGACTCAATCACTGCTTACTTCTTCACACACACCAACAACTGACTCATAATGTAGAAATACAGTCAGTAGTTTAGCAATTAATTGCTGGAAATGAACGCCATTATGAATTTTGGGCGTCAAAAGTTAATCAATCAATCAATTAATTGACCAAAATTGACCACACCCATCATGAATATTAATTAGATATGGCAAAATTTTTTGCGCACTTCGCGCGAAAAGCTTCCTTCTCCTCTATAGCCCTAGTGCCCTACCAATCTTTAAAGGCCAGCGACGCCCCTGTGTACATATATATTATCTCGTAGAGGATCTGTGTTACTGAGATGATACTAAGAACTGCTAAGAAGAGATTCGGGAAGCTTTTATTAACAACTCCTTGAACCGTGTGTCAGCCAATGTGGCTTATTTACTCAACTGTTTACTAGTGAGATATGCAGTGATAATAGTACACTAACAATACATTTGTACATAATGTACATGTAACTTCAATTTTGTCGTTATTTGACTTTGCTCTTTTTTATTTTTTAGACTGATACTGAAGAAATTGTTTCTGATGAAGTAAGTACTGTACAGTCGCCTACTCTCCTGTTGTAACATTGGTCCTCTCTCTCTCCCTCTAAGGTTGCTGCTACAAAAAAGAAGTCCAAGAAGAAGGGTGAAGGAGGAAGTGGTGGTGGTGGTGCTAGTGGTCCAGTCACTAAAACTACATCTGCTGGAAAAGGTATTGTGCTATATCTTTTACAGCTTGTGTAACATACAGAGCATAATGTGCATTCACTCTACATGTATATGAATATGTAATGACTGTATTATGTTACTTTTAATGTATGGAGCCATTTCAGTGCATTTATCATGATCAAAGGCCATATGCAGTGTATGTTTACTTTACCTTTTACTTCGTACAATAGCTGCAATTGATAATATGCAACTTGTACACGTACAGTACATTGATGATATATTTTGTTTAGACTTGTCTCAAGGAAAGTTATGGAAACTGTTAGTGGAAGATGTACTTCAGCATTTCCTGTACACAAAGGAATAGTAAGCTAATAATAACTGAATAAACAATATTTAATGATGTACATGTACTTAAATGTCTATCTCTTTCTCTAGTAATTCTGTAACTCACATGTGTACTACTTGTGGTGT